TTTTCGTAGTGATAAATATAGAGTCTACTGATTGCTCAGATGCCTATGACTTCACTACCATTAAATGGCCTTTTACAGTATAGTGTAAATCTGGAGATCGCTTCGAAAAACAAGTCCCTCAGGAAGAGAGTGAAGAGCGCCACTAAAGGCGACGAAGAAAATCAAAGTTCAAAAATGGTTCCGAAAATCGCGGTCGTTTTGAACGACGAAGAAGACATAAACGATGATGGCTTTGGACAAAGACATAATATGTCGAATACATGGACCGAAAAAGATGACGTTGAATTTAACGAGGGAACAATTCGAAACAAGCATAACGGCGACATTGCTGCAACACACGGAATACTAAATGGTGACGTTTTTCCGAGCTCCGATCAACGTAGCCCGTTGCTGGGTGAACACAACGACGATGAACTTCAAACTGAAATAGCAGAAACAGGAGATACTAGATTTGAGGAAGGATCTTTTAGTATTGGGTTACAGGTTTTCTTTCCTTTTCTAATTGCTGGCTTCGGGACCGTGTCGGCTGGTATACTGCTTGATGTTGTTCAGGTAACTAAAATCTTCTTTTCACAGGATCAACTTACATGTTTAGTGAAAATTTTGGTATTGAATGAGATGATTGAATGTCCTACAATTCAGCTTATCTTTCTCACATTGGAAGCCGTTTCACCAAACTATTGCAAGTTCAAATAAGCTTGATTTCAATTAATTTATTGAAATTTCAATTACCTGTTTACATGTATGATTATGACAATAATTTGTCTAATGTAATGACTGAAAGAGAGGGTGTTCAATGGATGTTGTTAGATGAACAACCAGACGGTGAATTTCAGACTGAAATGACAAAAACGAGAGATAGTAAATTTGTGGAAGACTCTTTTAGTTTTGGACAACAAGTATTTTTTTCCTTTTCTAATAATTATTGCTGGATCTGGAACATTTAAGCTGGCCGGTATCCTCCTTGATGTTGTTACTGAGGTAAAATTTTCTTTCTCGTGCATGACCAGCTTGTGATCAGGAAATAATATTAAATCAGGTCAATGTAAAGCTAGCTATCTATCTTATGTTGAGTGAAGTCTTAAGTGAGTTTAATTAAATTCATTCACTGAAAATATTAATCCAATGACCTGTTTACATGTAAGATAATGAAAAGGCAACACTGAATCTAATGAGGCATTTAATTGCTCACAATCTGACAAATAGCTTGTGAAATGTTATGAATATCCCATGATCTTAATACTCTAGAAACTGTCATAATCCTCAAATTTTTCACAGGGTTTGCGATAGAGGTCTTCCAAGGGGGGTAGCTGTGTCGCCATGTCGCCAGGTCACATCCTTTCATGTACTGATGTCACTTAACCAGCAAAAGCAAATGTCACTGTCATTTTTCTGCATGAAGTCATATGTTGCTGTCGCTACAAGGTTGATTCTTTTAGAGTTTATTCTTGAAATGGAAAAGCATTGAACATTAACAGACTTTACAAGAGAATACAATTTCTAAATGGGCAAAAAGTCCAAAAAGGTCCATGTTGCTGTCCGTTTCTAGTGCTTCTCATGTTGCTGTCAAATGTTAGTGGCGCATTTGATTGGCTTGGCACTGATTAGAAATTCCTGTGTGGCTGGCTTTCAGGGTCATGTTGCTTGTTGCTTTTACCCCTTGGAAGGCCTCATACAAAACACAGTTCAAAGTGAAGAAAATGCCTCATGATAAATATCTTATTAGAAGGGGGTGAATAGGGTTATGCAAATCTGCCAATCCATGCCTTTTTTCCGCCAAATCCGTCGATCTGCCAATATTTTTGTTGAAATCCAAAACCACAATCACATCCGGAAACAGAAGTATAAAAGTTCAAAAGTAAACTGGTAAATGTGAATGCCGTTGTTAATTTTGCACAAATATTAAAGAAAACAGCATACTTGATGGTTCTAACATAGTACAATTCCAATAACAGTCTTACACCTGAGTTTAAATAAGCTTCGTTCGAAAAAAAAAAAAAATTGTATGAACTCATTAACATACTGACCAAGGCAGAAGAAAGATCTATGATCCAAGTTTTGCTTAGGACCCAAGATCCGAACATCAAGACAGGCACAATCCGGAATCCGCGCCATAATTTACAGCTAATCCACGATCCACTGTGTTTTCAAAATCTGTGAATCCACTCGATTTACTGCAAAAATCCACAATCCATGCGCTTTTTAAGGCCAAGTCCGTCAATCCGAAAACCTATTCACCCCCCCTCTATTAGACATTTTAAAATTAACAATTTAAAATGTTATAGCATCAGTGTTAATTTTTGTCTGTCATTTGTATCCCATTAAATCACACAATAAAGCTGGCTGGGCTTATATAGCTGCATTAAAGGGGTTTTGGTTGGGCTTACATCTAGGGGAGCATATAAGTTTCAGAACGACGAGATAAATCATGTCTGAGAAACTAATTCAAGCTAACTTACCATTACATTTAGAGCTATTATTTCAAAACATCTATAAAACACTAATGTGACGGGAACAACTGGAACAGAACAGAACGAAAGTGAAAAAAACCACAAGCCTTAACGTTATCAATTTACCTATTTGCTGTGAAACGGTCCTCTAGGAAGAATTAAAGCAATTATACATTAGATGGGCTTATATCTGGGGTGTGTGTGGAGGGGGGAGGCTTAAGTTGTATATCCGGGGGCCTATATGCAGAATAGTATCTTTGTTAGCAAATAGAGGAGTTTATATCTGGAGGGCTTATAACCCGGGGGGCGGTTGCTTTAACGTGGAATTTTATGGTATATCAACTTGCCCTATAAAAATAATAAAAGACTTAGTATTTAGTGATACTATCCACTTAAATGTCATGTAGGATTCAGTTATTCAGCTGGTCTAAATTACAAAATACTATGTGATCGAATTTATACAAATAGATTTCTCATTTAATGTCAGGTGGGATAAGAAGAATCTTTCCGTCATTAGACAGTTAAGTAACATCATCGATTTTTCCAGGTTTCACGGAAGTTTAATGATGCCCTTTTATACTCCAGTGTAAAAAGAAGACTGAGATGAGGTGACAGTCTGTACGTTGTACGAACCTGGGTCACATGATCCAGAGACCAACATTCAAACTGTTGGTCCACTGTAGCTACATGTCAACAATAAATCTAATGAACCCCACTTTGAATTTTTTTCAGCATTGGCAAGTTTACAAAGACATTTCAGAAATTTTCATTTTGGTTCCTGCTCTGCTTGGACTGAAAGGAAATCTAGAAATGACATTAGCATCACGACTTTCGACTGCTGTAAGTAAACCATTGTCATTCTTGTGTCAAAACTTTCAGTCAGACTTAATCACAATTAAAGATACTTAATTATTGTCACCAGGCAATTTGTTTGTTAACTCATCTTCATTATGTCTTTTTCCCTACAAGGGAAATAGGGTCTTGCATTCTCGCTTGCCAAGCTTCTCGATTCTTAGCAAATGCACCAACATCTAACCAGCCTTTGAATCTGACCTTACCCCTTTCTCTCACCACAGTTCGTCTCCAAGTTCCCTAGGCTCACATCTCTGACATCTTCCCTCTGGTGTTTATCTACAGGACCGGTATAAGTAAATAATGACACTAGTCTGTTGAAATAATGTTGTTTCTGTTACCTAGGCTAATGTTGGAAGCATGGATTGTGCCAAAAGGCAGTGGAAATTAATAGGAGGAAATCTAGCATTAGTGCAGGTAAAGTGTTGCTTTGTAACTAGAAACTGTTTTTAAATTTTACAGAGAATTTTTTTAAATTTCACCGTATATTGAATATCAAACCAAGGAAAGACTAAATAAAGTAAATGAATTTGTGACTTCAAAATGCTTGAAGCTTTGTGTCTATATTGATTCATCCTTTAGCATCACCACTGAGTAGTTTGGAGAGCATGAAAGTAGTGTAAGAGTTGCTTGGGGCGCAACACAGAGCAACTCTAGCTTTTTGATTGCACTCCAAACTTTCCAAATGCATCATTATTAATTCAATGATGCGTGGCTGAAAACAAGATTCGATTGTTTATAACATTGCCAATGGCAATAAATGTACGAAAACAACCACTCGCACACAAAAATAAGTTGTATCATTTGATTATGATGTATGGTGACATATACAGATTTTGATAATGTGGCTTTGCTAGCTATGTTATGTATAAAATAAATGTAGAATCTACTCATGAGTGCATTTGTTTTAAGGTTCAAGCTACTGTAGTTGGAGCCTTGGCAGCATTTGCAGCTGTGACAATGGGATGGGTTCTTGATGGGGAATTCAACATTCATCATGCTACACTCCTTTGTGCAAGCAGCTTGGTTACAGCATCACTAGCAAGCTTCATTCTCGGCTCTGTGATGGTCGCAGTTGTGCTTTGTTCGAGGAAGTGTAACATTAATCCTGACAATGTAGCTACACCCATTGCCGCCAGTCTTGGAGATCTTACCACACTAGCACTTTTGTCTGCAATCAGCAGATTTTTGCACAGCTGTATTGGTAAGTTTCAAATCAAGTGTTACATCTGTTCGTCTCACCCTTTATCTCACACATGCATTTATACAGATGCCCCGCGTAAAGAACCACTTTTTAGAAATATGTTAACTCGGTTGATTTTGAGAAAAGAAAAGCTTGTTTCAATAACACTTATCTGCTTGTTCCAAGTTCTTGTTTGGTTCCAAGTTCTGGTCTGATAATGACCAAGTTTGTTCCTGTCTCAGGGTATATTCAGTAGAGACTAACAGAAGAAGGAAGAGCTGTGTAGCAAACTTTGTCTCACTCTTCACCTTAAAAATAAAACTAATGATTACTTGCTTGCTTTTTTATGCAGATTCTGAAGCTGGCACACATCACTGGATTGCACCTGTCATAAGCTTGTGTTTCTTTCTGGTTCTTCCTCTGTGGGTCTACATCACGCACAACAATACCTTCACTCATGACGTCTTGTATACTGGCTGGACACCAGTTCTCAGTGCCATGGTGATCAGCAGGTATAAACATGATTATAGCAGTTGATCAGTATCAAATTAAATTTCCTTACTATTGTCTATGCATCTTACAATATATTGTGTATCGGATTCTATAAAGTTAACATAGTTATGTGTAGTGTCTTGGTGTGTTTTGAAATTCTCAAACTAGCATTTAAAGAAATGTATGGCAGGTGTTAAGGAGAATTTAGATTTTGGATGGGAGGTGCATTCCCGAATATAAGTGTGAGAATGTGTACATGTGATTACCTCAAGTAAAGGAACTCCCAGGCTCATTTGTCAGACTCTTCTTCACAGTAATTTTGGATTTTTTTTAATGTTGCTTGTAGTACTGGAGGTCTAATTCTTGATTATGCTGTGGCAAAATACCATGGAATAGCAGTCTTCAGCCCAGTTATGAATGGTATGTGTTCTGTCTGAATCACTAAACACATTTGGATTTACATTACAGTACAGTAGTGATAGAAAATTAGTCGACAAGTAATCTAGACTCCTTCTATGATACTATTTGCCTCACATTATAGAAACCAGTGAAGGCTGTTGAAATGAAGCTATGTAACCTAGTGTGGTTACCTCTTGTGATAAAGTGATAGTGATTAAGATTTTGCATAGGAAATAGCTAGTCTGGGATCATAGTCTAGAATAGGGTTGCAAAATCTTGCTGATCATGATCTAGTATAGGGATTTTAGGAAGGATTTTAGTGTCCTAACGGCACATACCTACCCAAAGCTTCACAGAGTATCCCCTGGGGATCTCAGGGGATTTTAAATCCTACACTACATATTTAATACTCTAAGTAGACGGGTTGCTCTTGTAACTAGACGGTCCTTTCTCAGGTCATAAGGACGCCCGTTTACGGGAAGCTCCGCTTTAAATTAATCAATTTGTTCTCTAGTAAGATTTGTGTTGAATTGTTCTGTAAGGTGTGGGTGGTAATTTGGTCGCTGTCCAGGCCAGTCGATTGTCCACTGGTCTACATCAACTCGGTAAACCTGGAGAACTTCAGGAGTCTAGTAAATTTCATGGCTGCATCGACACATTTTTCGGCTCAGGTATGGTCACATAATATTACAAATGACAGCAATGTACACTTCCAGATCGATGGACTAATAACTAGATGGCTAACACTTATGCTAAATATTTTGTTTGCCACTATAATTATAATTGAGAAGATCTCTTGTTCATTCAATTCCTGTCTGTCGGCTTGCATTTACCTGTGACCAGAACGTGTGTAACCATTAACACTGATGTGTAAACACTGGTATGCTGGGGTGAATCTTGCCTAGTTCCTGTACAGCGTTCTCCCAGCCCTTCACGATCAATTGATTTGTTAACCCTTACGTGAGTAGAAACCCAAACGCCTATAAAGCCATTTGAAACCCAACTTCGTAGTCTGTGTTGATTTTTTCCTCTTTTTCTTATTCAAGGATTGCATGCTCGTACAACGCGAGTGCTGTTGTTTATGGTGATTCCAGGAAATCTGACATTCTTATACACAATCCGTGTTCTTCAAGCTGGACATACCACACTTACTCTTATCTTTACATCAGGGTATCTACTGGCTGGACTCATCCAGGTATCGTGTGCTAGATGAAATTAATAACAATTAATGAGCAGAAGTTTTCCAAGAGTTTGTTGGCAACCAAGCGCAAAGTCATTACCTTATTACATGAAATTTTCGCGACACGTTAATTTCGCGATTTTTTTAAACCGCGAAATTAAAGTGGCGCGAACAATAAGTGCCGCGAACACAACATGACACGAAAATTAAGCGACTCACTTTAAGTGAAGTACTGTTGACATATAGTTCCGCCTGTGCGGTCTTGTTAATTTTGACGTTATTGTACATTTGATAAAGTCGGCTTACTAAATTCAAGACTAACATTGCCAAGAAAAAAATTGTGTTACTCAAAAACGCGAAGTTTTAGTGATTCAAAATACATAATTTTAGCAAAATCACGGAATTTAAGTGTTGCGAAATATGCGCAAATCAAAATCGCGAAATGGACGTGTCGCGAAAAGTTGATGAAATAAGGTAGTTCCTATTAAGAAACTGTTAGGTTGCATCCGCGGGCAAGCCAATTTTAAGTTGATGAAAGTGAGTGTTGTCTCGAGAAGCTGAGCGGAAGTTCATCTTCAGAGTCACCTGCAAATTTGTTTGTCACGGTGTTGTATGCGACTTCTATGGACTGACAAAAACGTTTCACTTGACTTTAAAGATGACTGCCTCTCAAGTCACGGAAACGCTAGGCATGAACTGAACAACTATGGAAGTCCCTTTTCAGGACTGCCTTCTCCCAGACGATCACGTGAAACGAAACGTAAATGATGGTGGATCCTGGACTGTTCATCATCATCATCATTTATTTGCCGCGTAAATAATAACAAAAGATATTGACAATACTCAAAAAGCGGCGAGGAGACCTCCAAAAGAAACCACCAGGCTTATAACGGAGGCCACCTCAGAAGTTAATATATTGATAATTTCTAGTTCTGCGAGTGCGACCAATTCACAATTGTTTAAAGGGGCTCAGTCACAGTATTTTGAGTTATTTTGGCCACATACAAAATTATCTTTAAATAGTTGGAAACCTGAAAATAACAGTTTAATAAGATAGAAAAACACCAAAGAGATAATGGAACAAGGATGGCTAAGGATGGAGAAGATTGACACGGATTACAAACGACGATTTTGAAAAAATTGAGGCTAAACTTTTCAATATGCGCAAATCGTGACTGAGCTCCTTTAACAAGACGCGCATTAAGTGTTTGAATTTGGACAATCGGGCCTGTTCATACTCACATGTGAGAAATGGCAAGATAAGTTACGCTAACACGAGTTTACTTTAAACTGTAGGTGGCTATTCTCCTTCTGACTGCTAATTGGCTGGTTCACTGGATGTGGAAACGAGGCAAAGATCCCGACAACTACTGCATTCCTTACCTAACAGCACTGGGTGACTTACTCGGCACCGGGCTCCTGGCCGGGTCATTCCATCTTCTGTGGCTCATCGGAGACCGCGATGCTGACGTGGGGGACTAGCGGTTTCATCTTTAAATAGTACCTAAAATAAGCTCTGTCT